AGGAGGAGGGAGGAGGAGGAGGAGGAGGAGGAGGAGGAGGAGGAGGAGGAGGAGGAGGAGGAGGAGGAGGAGGAGGAGGAGGAGGAGGAGGAGGAGGAGGAGGAGGAGGGAGGAGGAGGAGGAGGAGGAGGAGGAGGAGGAGGAGGAGGAGGAGGAGGAGGAGGAGGAGGAGGAGGAGGAGGAGGAGGAGGAGGAGGAGGCGGAGGAGGAGGAGGAGGAGGAGGAGGAGGAGGAGGAGGAAGGGGGGAGCAAGGGGGAGCTACACTGATCTGGTACCATACCCTCCTCTAGTCACCATGGGAGATCAGGCTCAGCTTCTCCAGGCGATTCGTGGAATTTTTGACGAGAAGGTAAAACCCCTGGTCGACGGGATCAACGAGAGGATCGTTCGGAACGAGGCCAGGACGGAGGAGGCACACAGTCGTCTTGACGATCATGCGGCGCGCCTCCAGCGTCTCGAGGAGGGCAGCACGACTTCAGCATTTACACCCAAGTCCATCGAGTTCAAGGGGTTTTGTGAGTGGAAAGATCGCAAGTCCGCAGGGGTATCCAGGACGGAGGCCGAGACATTGATCCAGAAACTGTCCGCTTCCCTACCGGAGTCCTTGAAATCGAAGCTAGGTCCCATCCACCTCAAAGGGTACAAGTGGCATAAGTTTACTGTCGACGTTTCCCCTGGGTACGCGGACGAAATCTCTTCCATTTTCAAGGAGCTTTTGAAGGAGCCCGATTACCTTAGAGGCGAAAGAACTCTTTATACCACAACGGAACGTGAGCCGAATGTCCAAAAACAAATTGCAGCAGGGGGTAAGGCCCGGGCGTTCCTCCGATCTCGCGTCGTGCCAGCCGGAGGCACGGCTGAGTGCTCGTGGCAGCCTGATTGGCAGCTCACCGTCGGCAAAGAGCAGATGCAGGCGGTCGTGGGCGTGGTCGGGGACGGCGGTGTGATCCAGTGGGACGACGCGAACTGCCAGTGCCACTTGGGGGCTCCAGCCACCCAGATCCAGCAGGCCATGGCGTCGTTTAAAGATTGAGGTGGCAGGGTAGCCCACTTCGAATTCAATGACGTGCAATTAATTAGCTGGAACACCTGCAAGAAAGGTCGATCTTCCATTCCCAACGTCGCCAAGCAGGTTCGGGCGCTGTTCGGGGACACGGCGATCTTGCTGCAGGAGGTACCTGCTTGGGGTGCTAGTGCAGGTTATGTGTACCACAACCACGTCGTCATGTGTAGGGAGGGCTCGGACTGTGGCTTTTTGATTCCTAGACGTTGGACTCCGGCCATTCGTTCTGAGAGGTACCGTGACTACTGGGCAGCGTGTGTGGTGGGCAATGTAATTTTGATTTCAGCGCACATTTTAGACCATCTTTCGCCAGATGGGAGGGGACAACAAGTAATTCAAGAGACCATGGAGTATGTGCAGCATGTGCGGCTCACTTTTCCTGGTTGCATGTTCGAGATTGTGATGGGTGTCGATGCGAATGTGACTCTGCCCGCGGATTATGAAGCTATCACTGGGCACCATGTTCTTCCTGCCGCCCCGTCCCACACCCCGTCCATGACTCGTGTGATTTTGGAGTGGTTTACGGCGCTGGGGGGCCGGGCTTTGAACACATTTGAATGTCCAGGGGAAGCTGATCTGCGCGGGGAGCCGACATGCCTATGGACGTGTGGGCGGCGGAGAGTATTGTCCAGACGCACCCAGATTGATTTCATCGTTGTCTCAGAGGGCGTTGACGGCTACGCCTCGCCGCAGACCTTCGATGGGAAGCTGTTTGGCCGGTCCGACCACCGGCCGTTGGTTAGCTACCTTCGTCAAACCGCCGTTTCACAATGTTACAGTGTACATGGTCCAATGGCGCCAAAATGTATGACAGGATGGTCACCTATCAACTCCGACGCGTTGGATGCGTTTCGTAAGAACTGTTGTCGTTTTCGTGGTGATTGTCTCGGAGCTCTTCAGAAGCACATCCTCAATGAGGCGCGGAACACTCCGCACACCACCGCGTCGCAACGCAAACATTCCAGGGCCATGTCCATCAACAGTCCAGTGCGGGAGGCATGCGCACTCGTTGCCTCGTCGACGGGATCCGCTCGCCAGGCCGCGGTAGTCCAGCTTCGGGCTGCCAAGAAGCGTGCAAAGAAGCTCAGAAACGAGAAGCAGTTGCAGGCGGTCGAGCCGAAACGAGGATCCCCTCGTCTCCCCGTTGCCCTGAAGGTGGACGGCGTGTTATCTCATGACCGCCAAGCTTGGATCGATGAGGCACTCAAGTTCGGCAAGCAACGCTTTGGCGATGATTCCAACACCTTTGACGTGCAGTTTGCTCGATTGGGCAGCCTACAAACTTTGATTGATTCTGCCGCCGCTGACGGCTGGGACACACCGACCCTTTCCTTGTTCGACGTGTTGCAAGGGCGTTCGAAAATCAAGAGTGGATCAGCTGCCGGTGCCGACGGCTGCCCACCAGAGGTATACCGAGATTTGCCATTCACAGTCGCAGTCCATATCTGGGAATTATTTTCTTGCAGGCTGTCCAGCAAGACCCCCGAGGAGGTGCAGGAGTGGAAGCTTATCGAGTTCGTGGGCCTGCCGAAGACAAGGATTTCTGATAGCTTCGATCTTTTCCGATGGATTTCTAAGCTTGACTGCATGCAGAAGTGGTTTGCACGGAGTCTATTGCGTCTGGTTCGATCTCAGCTTTCCCGTAGTCTGGTGCACACACTGGGTTTCAAGGCGGGTTTTTGCAGTGACGACCTCGTTTCCACTATGCGGCAGTGCTTGTATCTATCGAACAGGTGGGGTATACCATTGATCGTCGCAGCTCTCGACGTGGCGACGGCGTTCGATGCCATTGACCATGAGCTCCTAGGCGGTGCCCTGCTTACTCGCGGTGTCCATCCAGGATTGGTCCGATGTCTTCTCCGGGAGCTGTCTGGATTCTCGGCGCGACTGAGCGTGCCTGGAGCTGGTACTACCTCGTATTTTGACTTTGAACGCGGTGGGAAACAAGGAGGAGCTGAAACCCCAGATGAATTCAACATGTTCCTCGAAGTGATTTTGAGTCCATTGGCGGCTGATTGGTCCGATAGGGGCCTCGGGTTCTCACCGGGCGAAGGAATCCCGCTCCTGACACATCTTGTTTGGGCCGTTAACATATTCATATTTGCCTCTAGCCGAAGCCAATTTCAGACAATGGCTGCTGAGTTGACGTCCAGGGTCACCACCTTCAAGCTCAGTTGGAAACGTTCGTCTCTGCAGTTCATGTGCTCGGGAGGCGCGCACAGCGATGATACTCTCGACGTTGGTTGCGTGGGATTCGATTGCGAGCCCGTCATCCTCGAGAAGGTCCCAGAGATGGAGGTTCTCGGCACCCTTTTGAATTCTTCTGGTTCCACTCGGCGCTCGATCGAACACAGGCTTCTCAAAGCAGATGGGTGTTTTTGGAGTTACTCCCGTGCCTTTGGCGGACCGGGGTGCGTCTCGAGCAAGCTCTCTTCCTGGAGAAAAGGGCCCTCGACGTCAGCTTTGTTTGGCGCGGGCACCATGCACTTGTGCCAGAGCACGCTGATGGCCGCCAAGCGGTGGGAGTTCCAACGGCTCCGAAAAGCATTGCGACTCAGGCGGAAACCTGGGGAAGAGCAGCAGGAGTACAACCAGCGCACCTCGCATTTGATCCAAAACTGGAGTGCCAAGTCTGACGTGCCACTTCTTCACCACCGTGTTCTGCGCGCAGTCTTTCTGCAAGCGTGGCGGGAAACTCATCATCCTGACCCGCATTTCCGGAATATTCTCCGAGGGCTCCGAGAGTTTCGCGCCGCAGATTGGTGGGACGGAGCTCGACAAATACCCTGGAAGTGGAGGCGAACGCTGGGCGCAGCACAGCGGACTAGTGGACACCCGCCCGCCTGGGACGACGTGTTTTGCAGCGTGCATGGGCCTCAATGGAGAAAGTTCCGCGACACTTTCGGCACGGTGCACGAGTGGAAGAAAAACGTCACGACTTTCACGAACACGGTTTGCGAGGTTTGGGGATTGCCGCTCATTCCTGTCCCAAGGACAAACGTTGCATCGGACGTTGATGCTGCGCACGCACCACGTGACAATGCGCCGCCGCGGAAGAAATCCCGCCAATACGCCGTGCACGACTGCCCGGTACATCACAATGGTGACGGCTTTGGCGAGGTGTTGGATTGGGAAGGTCAAGGGCGACGCTGCGTGTTCATCGTTGATTGCCAACCGCTTCAGAGAATTTCCATGGGAATCGTGCCGTTGACTCGGGATCCGGACGCCGAGCCCATATTTCACAGTATTTGCAGCAGTATGTTATCTATACTTCAGCATGCTTGGGCACCGCCTTATCCACACTGCGATCTGGTTACATGGCGTAAGCGCGACTACAACGTGGTGGCTGATTGGCTTGTCAATTACACAATGGATACCAAGATGTCGTGGAGCAAGCAGTTAGACTTTCCGTTCGACAACACGCCCCTTGAACAGTGCAACGTCGTGGTGCATTCGGACGGCGGCACGCGAATGGGAACGTGTTCAGCCACCGGTTGGATTGTCGAAGTGGGCGTTCACGACGGTCATACATGGGTGTTCCGCCTTCTGTTTATGGCCGGAACGTACATATCTTCTCCAATTTCTTCGTTTCATGCGGAGGCACTGGCTTTGGAGGAAAGCGCGCTGTTTGTGAGTCGGTTGTTTGTAGCAAGAGCAGAGCAGTAGTCCGTGATGGGAGTGATGTAGTCAGCTGGCCTCCGAGGGGCCTCAGGCTTAGCGAAATGAAATGAAGAAGAAGAAGAAGAAGACGAGGAGGAGAAGGAGGAGGAGGAGGAGGGGAAGTGGAAGTAAGAAGGAGGAGAGGGCAGCTGGTTCAGGAACAGCACGAGGAGGTGCAGAGGAAATCGCCCGACGTCCCCCCCCCCCCCCCCCCCCGAGGGCTTTCGGGAGGCCCGCCCGAAGGCCTCCCCCCCTAAGTGGGGCCTCCGAGCAGAGGCCCTCGCCGCCCTCAGCCTGGAGCAGTCCCTCGAGGAGGCCGTGCTCGAGCTCCGGCAGCGGGCCCGCTCGGGGGAGGAGGAGGACAAGAATGAGGAGGAAGAGGAGGAGGAGGAGGAGGAGGAGGAGGAGGAGGAGGAGGAGGAAGAGGTAGTGGTGGAGGAGGAGGAGGAGGAGAAGGAGGATGGGGCGGCGCTACAGTGCATGAGCTGCAACCTGTTGCGCAAGTCTTAGGAAATGGCCCATGGACACGCACCGTCTTCTTTTCTCACCCGTTTGTCGCTTTCCAGTTTCCCAGGACGGTGGAGGACAGTTAGAAGAAGTCTTCTTCATCGACCCGCCTCCTCACACTTCTCATCTTCCCTCCTCCCAGCGCCCCACACCCCCATCCCCCCGCCCTTCCAGTGGGCATCACCATATCCAAGATGCAAGTAGTGTTGGCGATGCCCCAAACAAAGCTCTCGAGTAAGATTCGAGGCCCAGGCCGACCCTAACTTCGGTACGCATAGAGTGCACGGCGCCTCTCGAGGGACAAAGTGCCACTCACCGTCCGTGCACGATGTACGCGTCTCCCTCCTCCCGACCACATTTTGGATACCTAAACAACGTGCGTACACGCCATACGTGTCTATGTTTCAAGCGGACGTGCACGCTATACGTTTTTTACGTTGGCGATCGTTTTGCCTTGCCACTTTCCAGGGCGTGCGTGTATAGCGCCCTCGTCAGGGTGCCCGAGTGAGCCCTGGCGGGGGGCTGATGCCGACATCGGCGCAGGCGCTCTCGGACGGCCCGTCTGCCAGCGACCACTCGTGGAATCTGCTGTCAGAGCTCCCACCAACCCTCCCTAGTCATGGCGGAGCGTTCGGGGCGCCCCGATCAGAGTTTGCCCTCGACAAACTTGGCAGCGAGCAAGGGGGGGAAGAGAGAAGGGGCGGGCTTTCTCAGAAGGCGGTGGGACTTCCCAAGGGAGCCCCCAAGAAGGCCACAAAGGCAGCCAAAACATCTTTGCATGGTCCCGATCGCTGCCCCAAACGGGCCAAAATGGCCCCCAAACGCCCAGGATTCCCAACGGCCCACGAGGGCCCCGAGCACCACAAAGAAGGCCCAACAGAGCGAGGCCCAGGACGGGGTTCCAAGAAGGTCCAAAAGGCCGCCAGGACAGCCCAGCGTGGTCCCGATCGCTGCCCACAACGGGCCAAAATGCTCCCCGAAGCGCCCAGGATTGCTCAAGAGGGCCTTCAGTGAGGCCCAGCAGGGGGGGGCAGGAGGGGGGGGGGCAGGTGCGCGCTACACGGGCTCCGGCTCCAGCAGGGGGGGCAGGACGGCTCAGGGCTCCAAGAGGTGACGTCCAGAGGGCCCCATACAGTTGTAAGACTGCTTGGGGCGGCTCCAGGAGCAGCCCAGAACCCACGAGGGCCCCGAGCACCACAAAGAAAGCACAACAGCGCTTCCAGAGAGGCCCAGGACTGCCCAAGGGAGCCCCAAGAAGGCCCACAAGGCCGCCAAGACAGGCCAGCATGGTCCCGATTGCTGCCCAAAACGGGAGAGGCGGGGGCCAGGTGCACGCTATTTGGCCCCAGCTCCAGCAGGGGGCAGGACTGCTCAGGGCTCCAAGAGGTGATGCCCGGAGGGTCCACGTGCGAGGAGGAGGAGGAGAGGAGGAGGAGGAGGAGTAGGAGGAGGAGGATGAGGAGGAGGAGGAGGAGGAGGAGGAGGAGGAGGAACGATGAGTAATGAGCAGTGCAATTATGTTTTGACACCTATGCGATGGCGCCGACACTGCCGGTTTTGCCTGGGTGGTGACTGGGTTTCGAAGGTAAGCGTCACTTGCTGCGCGCGTTCCCCAGCCGCCAATGCGGCCACCCGGGCCAAACTGCTGTCAGGGATTCGGTGCTGCCTCTGACTTTACGTCGACCTGACATTCCTGCAAAACGCCAACTCTGTACAGTGCTTCGTTCTGAGCGGTGACTCTTGCTTCTCTCTGCTACTGTTGTCTGCTGGTCTGCCCGACATGGCGGGCAAATCCAGTCCCTCCCTCGGGAGCCTGAAGGTGGAAGCCGTGACAACCAGATTCGCCGTGTACATGGTTGGGGCACTTGCAATGCCACGGAATACCCCCCCGAGCGTGTCACGGTTGCCGCCGGACGCTGGCCGGGTACCTCGCATGCAAGACACATTGCTGGCAGGCCTTCGGCCAGGGCGTGCGCTGCCAAACAGTGCAGACCATCATACGACCCTCGTGCTCGGGAGGGGGCTATCTGGAGAACGGGCGTTAGGGGTGACAAGGGGGGACCTTCTGAGCGGGGGGGGAGGCTGAAAAGCATTGGCAAGCACCTGGGAGATTCCGAAAAATGTGCGACTCCTGACCCCGAGAGCCGCCCGCGTGACTCTCGGTACCTCAGTGCGCCCTCCCGCAAACGCGGGGGGAAAAGGAAACAACTTTGGCGCGTCATGGGTATGGGAAGGCGAAAGGGAAGGGGAGGGGCGGGGCATGGGACTGGGATCGGAAGAGAACCCCTAGAGATCCTCAAGCTCGAATTCCAGACGCTGGGGCTGGACCCTCTCTCGGCGGGTCCTGCCTGCTCCAACAGGGCCCTCAAAGCACGCTCCTGGGAAATCCCAACTGGGTCTTCGGCGCGATGCATGCGACCCGCATGCGAAGCAGCAGCGCGTTGTTCCCCAATTAGAGCTTGCCTCTGTAGGGGTCCTAGCGGATTCAAATGGTTAGGTTAGGTTTGCCGCCGATTTTCCCCGCACGCCCGGGTGCACGGTGCGCGGGTGCCCGGGTGCCCGTGTGCCCGGGTGCTTGGGTGCCCAGGTGCCCGGGTGCCCAGGTGCCCGGGTGCCCAGGTGCCCGGTAGCTCTATATAGCCCTATAGCCCTATAGCCTTGTAGCCCTCTAGCCCTGATAGCCCTATAGCCTTATCGCCCTATAGACCTATAGCCCTATAGCCCTATAGCCCTATAGCCCTACAGCCCCATAACCTTATAGCCCGATAGCCCTATAGCCCTATGGCCCTGTAGCCCTTTAGCCCTATAGCCCCATAGCCTTCTAGCCCTATAGCCTTATAGCCCCATAGCCCTAAAGCCCTAAAAAGATGATGATGGGGTTTTTCTCCAGTATCATATATGACGCATCTGCCCGCCACTATACATGTGAGAGGCCTTACGGTACGACGTCCACATACGCGTGCCGATCCCTGAAGTGACCGTCAGAATGGGCCCTCCGCTCCAGTTCTCGATCAGGCCCGAGGACGCCCTGCCATCCCACGCAGGGACGCAGACGGCGCCCAGGCACTGGCTGAGCCTCCAGGCTGGCGACGGCATCCGCGCAGGTTGGGTTACGGAGTCCCGGCCGTCGCCGCCGCGCCCGGGACGGAAACCCGGCCAGTAAGGCCACTACCAGCAGGGCAGCCGCGGGCCTCATGGCCGCGCCCTCGGCGCCTTGGCCGCCCCACGGGGCGGGCAACCGAGGCGTGCTGCGGCGCCTGGGCCTTCCGTCGCGCGGCGGCCCGGCATTGCAGCTCCGCGGGTACGGCATTCGCCACCTCGGCCCGTCCGTCCGCGGCGGGGGGGGTCGCCGCCCTCGCCCCGCAGCCGCGTCAGGAGTTTTTTTTGTCGCTTGGCAATGGGTGAGCCTGCAGCTCCGCGCTCACCTGCTTCCAGTTGGCCACGTCCTTCGACAGCATCGAGCCGTCGCTGTCCGAGATAACGGACTCCGCCGCGCGCTACGCGCAGCGTCTGGGGGGTGAGCGGCGTGTTCGCCTCCTTCGTACGTTTGGTGGGTGCCGCTGCCGCCGCTCTCCCCGCTGGCGAGGCTCGTGGCACTTCGTCTCTGATGGACTGGATCTCGGCCTCCCGACGGAAGTTCTGCAACTCTTTCCGCCCTGCATCCGTAAGGCGGTGTTTTGTTCGTTTTTTTTTTTTTTTTTTTTTTTGTTTTTTTTTTTTTTGTTTTTTTTTTTGTTTTTATCGTTTCGTTGTTTTGAAGTGTTTACTTTTAAATGTGCGCGGCGCTGAGGCGCGATCCTCAGTTTCAAAAAGAAGACCCGCCCCTCCTTCCGTGCAGTGTTTCTATACAAAATTCAAATGTACGCGGCGCCAGGGGGAGAGCCACATCTCGGACACCACCCTCCTCCGTCCGTGAAGCTGCTGCACACATTTGTAAGACGAGTGTGCGCGGCGCTGGGGCGAACGCCACAGTTTGCCCTCCCTTCCGTCCGCGAAAGGACCACATGTCGAAAACGAGATTCCCCTCTCTATCCGTGAAGCTGTTGTAAACTTTAGACGAATGTGCGCGGCGCTAAGGCGAGAACGACATTCTGAAATCGTCCCCATCACCGTCCGCGAAGCCGTCGCCAGCTTGGAAGACGAATGTGTGGGGGGCGCTACGGCGAGAGCGACATTCTTAAACCGGCCCGTCCTCCGTCCGTTAAGCTTGTTCGAATTTCAAGATTCAGGTTAACAGATTGCAAGACAATGTCATCCGAAACGCCACGCCCGCCGGGGGGAGGATATGCTTATAAGGGAAGGGATGGGGGGGGGGGCGAGCGTGAGGAGGGCCAGGAGGAGGATAATGACGACAAGGAGGAAAAGGTTGTGGGCTCCGGGAAGCAGGACACTGTGAACCCAGACCCCCGACGTCGTTCTTTTTTCCTGACGTCGACCCCGGAGGTCTCGACCCATTCCCCGGGACCGGCTTTTTACCCTAAGTCGTTTTATGACGGTCCCAACGCCCGGTAAGGGCCCCCAGTCAAGCAGTGGCGAAGCGTCCTGGCTTGCCTATAGTCCCACCAAAGAATGTTCTAAAAACCTTCTGTTGGTCTGCGCGAGATGTTATAAGAGCATTTCTGTCTGAGCCTGCTTTGTTTGAACACATCGGGTTTATGTTCTAAACACATTGTTCTCCAAGTAGGCTTGCCCTATAGGAGTCCTAGCTCAAACCTTACTAATTGGTCCGTTGCCCCCCCCTAATTCCTATGCCCCCCCCAAACTCCTACTGCTATGCCTATGCCTGTGCCTATGCCTATCCCCCTTTTTCCAATGCCCCCCCCCTTGTGTATGCTTGCTTGCTTGCTTGCTCGCTTGCTTGCTTGCTTGCTTGCTTGCGCGCTTGCTTGCACGCTTGCTTCCTTGGTGAGTTGCGGATTCCCAGCATGCTCGATT